TATATATATATATTGTTTGGACGCACGTCGTGATCCGTGGTACTGTGCTTTCGCGTGTGCAGGTATGTCAGGCCTTCCACATCCATAGAGCAGGGGCATCAACATGGACCGCGAACAACCTCCTGCAGCTCCGCCGCCGTCGCCGAAATCCCCATTGCTTCCTACTCCTTTCTCTTCATCTCCATCCGCCTCACGCGCTCTTTCTTCTTTGCAAGGCTCTCCGGTGTACAATGATATTTCACGCGGTCGAGGGAGAGGCCTTTTGGATCCACGCGGATGCACTCGAACGGATTGTATATTGGAGAGTCCTGCGACCAGGCAGCGTTTGGATGACAGAACGGCCGTTTGCCGTTCCCTCCTTTGCTGAATTCGAAAAATGTCACACAAATTCCTCTCCTGAGTCACATGCGTGCACCCATTGCTGCAATCCCGGCTCTCCCCACTTTCGTTGGCGATCCCGCAACGTCTTCGTTTGCGCAATCCGCTGTGCTTTCTTCTCGTCCTCCATTTTCTTCGCCCATGGGCTCTCTCGCAGCGATGTTGACGACGCCATAGTCCAGAAGTCAGAGCATGTGCGGTGTTCAACAAAGTCGTTTAGACGCCGCGCATCCATTTGGTTTGCCGCGGTCGTTCACGTCTTCGGGCCATGATAACTCCGGCGCGGTGCCCGTTGCGGGTGTCTTTGCGTCAGATCCTGTTCGTCGAACAGAAGAGACACGTTCACTGATCGAAGCAGTGCAGCCGACATCATGCACTCCGGTTTCCAGCAACCGTGCACGCGATGTTCTTTGGGATGAGTTTCTCGCCTTGATCGCCCCGCACGAGGTCCAGTACACCTCGTAAAGGCAAGCCTCACTGGGTGCGATGTAGAGTTGATCAAAAAAATCGCCAGGGTGAGATTGCGAAGGCGATGGGGAAGAAGTTGTCAACTCGCAGTCCAGGCTCCAAAGATAAGAAGAAAAATCATTGTTCGTACGAGGACGTGTTCGATCAGCTCATGGAATGGAGTTCCGTTCACATTGATGAGCTGATGTCAAAGTACGGCCCCGGCGAACAATCGTCCGGCCATAGGGGTTCATGCGGACAAGGATCGGACGCAACGGTGACACCAAAGTCGTGAGGTGGCAGACCCCGCAGTGACTCATTGAAATGGCGCGACGGCAAGCCGGGATATTCAGATAATGGTCCGATGTTTGAACGATTGAGCGTGAGGGACCAAATGGCCATGTGGGACGCTAAAGCAAGACCTGATGTCGTTTTCATTGAGCCGGTCAAACTTCTACAGATTCTCGGGATGTTCGAGCAAACGTGTCCTCGGCATGGGAAAGACGTTGAGGTGACGATCAAGAAGATCCATTATCCATGTCACATTTGCAAGTTACAATTCGAATGTGGGAAAGGGTGCACTTGGCACTGGAGTTCCGCAAAGGTTGTTTCACCGGGCGGGGTGCGAAATTTGAGGGTTGAGACTCAATTGTTCCAGTCCACTTTAACTGCGGGAATGACTTACACTCAATTGAATAACCTCCTGCGGCGCTTAGGGATGAGGAAGTCAGGAAAAAAACTTTCTATAATTTTTTTCGTGATGACGGCCCAGGTTCCCGACAATGGCTGCGACACGTCGAACGGGTTACTCAAAAGAGTTTCGGCAAGGTCATCGCGCGATTGCGTAGGTCGAACGATCCGGTCGTCGTTTTGGTTGACGGGCGTTACGATTCGTCTCGTGACGCTCAGCATTGTACGGTGACGGCGGTGGATTTGAAGTCAGGAATGATCGTGGGGACGGAGACCATGCTCCGGGGGAACGAGTCGTCATGGAAGCTGGAGACACAGTGTGTTGAGAAACTGCTACATCGGTTGAAGGACGAGAAAAACCTCATAATCGCAGAGGTTGTGCATGATGACTGTGGCGCGGTTGACGTCATATTGTGGCGAATGAACATTGACTCACAAAAGTGTATGTGGCATAAGGCGAAGACTTTGGTCAAACGATTGCGAGAGGCTGTGCGCGGCACGAAGACTGTCAAACCAGCTGCAGTCGTTGCTTGCGAGCATGTGCGAGAGGTGAAGTGTTTCACAAATAAGGAGCTTGAACTTTGGCTCGAATCGAAATGTGTACACGTGGCAGGGGTGTCCACGAGAAAAAAGGATGAACTTGTTGAGATTGTTTGGGGCGTGCTCTTCCCCGACGAAGCAGGGAAAGCGTTGCGAGATGATGTCGTCGAGATCGACGCGTTGCAAACATCGCATTGCAATGCGGCAGAGGAGGCGAAGGAGTGGTTGTACGGCGCTTGCAGGCTGCGCGAGCGCGCAAAGGATGACGATGGCGATGTGTTGGCCACGCATGTGCAACACCTCGCCGATCATTGGGCCGGGGATCACTCCTGTTGCGATAAGGAGTTGTCCAACCTGTGCAAAGCGGCTGGGGGTCCGGACAGGGATCCATTGTACGAGGCGGGGGGGCGTGTTCATCTCGCCGTCGCGCGCTGTCTTCAACAGTTCTCTTCGAATACGAAGATGGAGTGCTACACACGTGCGAGGATGACCTTCAACAACGAGTGCTTCCACTCCGTGATCAACAAGTACGCAACGAAAGTCGTATGAAGCGCGCGTGTGTTGCACCGCTTTGGAGTGGAACAAAAATAAACGAATCAGGCGATTGCGAACGGTCTTCCTCAAACCAACAAATGTAACCCATCGACGTCGTTCCGCACGACAGCATATATACGCCGCACGGGATACGTCGTGGCGCTTCGACATTGCAACTGCAGTTTTTAGTAGCCATCGGGTCGGAGATTGGGCACGTAACATGTTGCAGCAATCGAACGTCGACGACCCAGTTATTGAGCATTATGATGAGGAAGCCGATTATGGACTCCCTGATGCCGTTGAGAGTGCGGTGGAGGGTGTTGTGACCGAAGGTGACAATGTTTTCGTTGAGGCGGGAAGTGAGAGTGTTTCAGATGATGAAAAATCGTCTTCCGACTCCGACACCGATGGTGCCGCTCACCGCCTTGACTTTGACGGCGCCGTTCTTTCGCAGGAGGTGTCCGTTGCGCAGGAGTGATAGTGTCACGTACTACACCGATGCCCATTGTCGTTGTCATAATCATTAGAATGTTATGTCCTCGATTTGAATTGGTTGTAATAACTGGTTGTGAGAACAGGTTGTGAGAACAGGTTGTGAGAACAGGTTGTGAGAACAGGTTGTGAGAACTGGTTGTAATTTTGAACTGGTTGTGATAACTGGTTGTGAGAACTGGTTGTAATTTTGAACTGGTTGTGATAACTGATTGTGATAACTGGTTGTTCGAACTGGTTGTTCGAACTGGTTGTGAGAACTAGTTGTAATTTTGAACTGGTTGTTAGAACCGGTTGTTCGAACTGGTTGTTCGAACTGGTTGTTCGAACTGGTTGTAATTTTGAACTTTGTGAGAAATGGTTGGAATTTTTCAACTGGTTGTGAGAGATGCTTTTCATGTATACTAATTGTATATATGTTTTGTGTACACTTTGTGATAACCGGTTCTGAATATATATATATATATATATATATATATATATATATATATAGAGAGAGAGAGAGAGAGAGAGAGAGAGAGAGAAAGAGAGAAAGAAAAAAAAAATATATATATATATATATATACATATATATATATATATATCATATGTAGATATGTACTCATGTGGCAAAATTTATAAATGCAAAACAATACGAACATCTTTCCCTTCATCTCCATCCGTCTCTCTCTCTCTCTCTCTCTCTCTCTCTCTCTCTCTCTCTCTCTCTCTCTCTCTCTCTCTCTCTCTCTCTCTCTTATGTTACTGGAGTCTCGACAAACTAATCCATCCTGTCGTCCAATCCCACGTATGTCTCTGTAGTCTCGACCAACGAGACTGCAATGAATCTGAACCGCATTCAGGCAAGCATCGCCCCTCAGCAAGCTACTCGGCACCCGCGACTCCTTATACCCTCGTCGTCGTCGGGTGCACGATCCCTTGCGCAACGGTCTATTTCGGAGGAGTGGTGCGGACAATCTGCAAGCATTGCTGCGAAAGTCAACGCCGAGGTCCACACGAAGGAATGAACTTGACCGGGAAATGCTCGTCATTGCAAACAAAATATGGCGCACTTACAACAAGCCGCCACACACCGTCCCGATAAATAGTGTCGTAGTGTGTTTCCAGTATACGAAACACAAGCGGGTAGACAATATCATACATTTTATCTCCTTCGACAGGATTCAGAACGAGGCTATTGAAGTACGAAGTGGGCCTGGACTTGAGCACCCGAACGTGGTCGATGGTATGATGATGGATGTAAGTCTCTGTTGTGAGTCTTATGACTTGTTCGTCTTCCACGGCAACAACAAAATGCCGATCCTCCATTTTGTGTCTGTCTTTGTACTCCAACACCTGTTCGACAGTCTCCATAACCGAGTTTTGCGACTCGTAATAATATACGTTCTCACCCGTACGGAGTTTCGTGGAATGGTAGCATTGAAAAATCATTGGCGCCAACCGCATTGTCGTTGCTTGCGAATGGGGAGTCGAGGAAGCTGCGGAACACACAAAGCTTCATCGTAAGCAACAGAGCAACGATTTGCATAATACAAAGGTGAGGACCACAAGGCGTGTCTTCTTCATATGCACACACACACAAAATGCGGTGTGAATGTTGCTTCCGTTTCCGGTGATTAGTCTATATATAACTGTTGCACACACACATACACACACACACGCAACCGGCAGACGACGTACGATAATAACAACAATATAAATCACAGATCTGTATGTCACATCATAT